TAATCGACCATAGGGCGGGTTGGAGGAGGGGGGAGAGGGTACAGGGGTTAGAATTCAGACAACTCTGGTGTGATTCATTAATAGATAATCATAAGCTTGTGATACTTTGAATGTATGATACAGTATTGTTTAAAATAAAGATCTCTTAAGGATGATCTAGTTATTCCAATGCTGAAATCCACAGTCCCTACTTCTGACCTAGGCCAGTGCTTCTATAAGAGAGTTTCTCTTAAAGAAACCTTACACTAGTTTAAAGTTGACAACAATAAATAAGACAAGCTAATTTCAGAGAATTCAATTCTATTTCCCAAGGATTGTTCCTTTATATTGTATTCATTGGATATCATTGCCGGGGACCATCCGAGCACTTCAGCTCCCTCTTTTGGCTTTAAGAGGACACTAGCCTGGAAAATAAATTTTGTAATCTAAGAAGGGGTAGAATTATGGCAGTGAAAGTAGAATAAATTTTTTTTTTCCGTCCCGAGGTCATTGATAATAAATACAGATCTTACATAAGCAAATGTATGAGTAATCGTAATAAGTTAGACAGGTAGATATCAGTTTTGATATTTCTGTTTTGTCGTTGGTACTAACTAGTCAACTAACCAAACCATTGCAGGTAAGAATCTGTCGTTCAATACATTCAAAGTTTTTATCTCTGAAGACAAGAGATTCAGAACAAAATCTGATTGGTAAACGGGATTTCTAATTTTCATCCCTCCTTTTTTTTAAAAAAAAAAATTATATTTTGTACAGAGATCCCGCCATTTTCTATGTTTCTATAATTTACATTGTTATCATTTTATATGGTATTCTACTCCTGTGTATAATTGTACACAACGTTTCAAAAAATTTACATTGTTTTCATCATTTTATTTCGTATACTACTCCTAGGTTGTATTGTACATAATATTTCAACAATTTACATTAATCATCAATTTATATAGCATACTACTTCTGTGTTTTATTGTAGACAACGTTTCAACAATTTACATTGTCATCATCAATTTATATAGCATACTACTTCTGTGTTTTAGTGTACACTGTGTTTCCACAATTTACATTGTCAACATCAATTTATATGTATGTTTCTCGGGTGTAAAATTCTGAATTCCCGAACTGTCCGAATTGGGTCAGAAAAGACAAAAAAATCGAAACTAAAATTGCGCCAAAGGTCGTGCACAAATTCAGGAATCAAAACATTTTACAACAAAAAACGAATATTTTTAAAATAAAAGCTTTCATTTGGTCAAATCACAATTTTTTTCTTTATTTTTCGTGTACACTGTGCTAATTTATAATGATGCCGTCTATGATTTGATATTTTTGATTTTTAATAAATATAATCGCTATTATTCAATGGGCACTTTTTGTTCGTGGCGTGGCTTAGTTAAATCCTGCTTTTAGAATTGATTCCCCAAAAATTTTGCCATTCCAAGTTATGGTTTTGACATTTCTGTTATATGGGAGGTCTCAAATGACCAATAATATACCCCTTTCGACAACCTATTTATCGATTCATAAAGCTTGGTCTATATATAAACACGACTGAATAAGGAAATATTTCTAAAATGAAAGTAGAATTACCAAGTCTAATTTTATGTTGTCTTTGTTATCAAGTACGTAAATGAATTCAAAGGCACATAATAATATTCTCGAACCACCAGTGACCTGTTTCTTGGTATTCCCAAATTCGTAGAAAATTCTTTAATAAGTTATCAATTTTTCGAATGGGTATATTTCATATAAGAAGATGAATTTAAACGTAGGAGCATCCGTAGGAGATATTGTTAAAATTATAGATGATGAAGAAAAGGTTAAAAACCTCCAGGACGGCCATGGTGGTTATAACGAAGACATGAAGCACGTGCGTATGTTTTTTCAATTTTTTTTTTCAATTTCTGTTATTTTAGCATCAAACTCATTTCCAAAATAATATATTGGATTAGCAATCCAGGATTTTCTGAATCAAGCTTGAACTGCTTAAATGAATACAGCTACCATACCACGCTATAGGGGATCAAGGTCCTAACAGTTCACCAATTCCATTACTGCAACTAAACACCATACATCATTGTTCTTCCAGATATATTACTTTGCCCCGCCGAACAATCAAGCATAGCGAAGTGCTTGACAACTGTTTTATTTCGTTATATTTATTGTCTTTTGGTAACTTTTAGATTTTATTTCGTTTCAGTATTTGGGGAGAGTTGGTCAAGTCATAAATGTTGATTCGGATGGTGACCTTTGTGTTAAATTTGGACGCAGGTGGTTCGTTTACAATCCGATATGTTGCTTGCCCGCTCCTGGTGAGAAAGTTTATGAAGGGCTCGCTGATGATTCAGAGAACATAACACCAAGTCAATCAGGTACATCATCACGTTCAGGGATAGGAAGTCCAATATAGTCTATATAGATCATAAAATACCATTAGCATCTAGCTCTGGATTGCAACTGATGATCCACTGTAGTAAAAACAGATCATAAAACATCATTAGCATCTATCTCTGAGTTGCAACTGGTTGTCCACTTTAGTAATTTCAGATAATATAAACATCATTAGCATCTAGCTCTGGGTTACAACTGATGGTCCACTGTAGTAATTTCAGATCATACAAACATCATTAGCATATAGCTCTGGGTTACAACTGATGGTCCACTGTAGTAATTTCAGATGATAGAAACAACATTAGCATCAGATCATAGAAACACCATTAGAATCATCAGACCATAGAAACACCATTAGCATCTAGCTCTGGGTTACAACTGATGGTCCACTGTAGTAATTTCAGACCATACAAACATCATTAGCATATAGCTCTGGGTTACAACTAATGGTCCACTGTAGTAATTTCAGATGATAGAAACAGCATTAGTATCAGATCATAGAAACACCATTAGCATCTAGCACTGGGTTACAACTGATGGTCCCGAAACGTTTCCGTATATCGATATCTTATAAGTAATATACCAAGACATAAACCAAGATGGAAGCTGACAAATCTGTATCAAATAGGTTTATTTGTTTCTCTTTCATTTTCGGAATTGCATGTCAAACTGAATTCTGTTTGTTGTAGCTTTCAATAATGCTTTTATGAACATGATGATAGAAAGCGGGTTGACTGAAACGATGTCCCAATCGATGACTAATCAAATCCTGTTTACTGCAATAGTTCAAAATAATATAAGCATGGTTCGTAAAGTCCTGACTGATAACCCGGGATTGGTAAGTTGAGATTGTTTGTCTGGTTTACAAGATGTGTGGTTTGCATGGATACATCATTTATCAGATGTTGAAGGCTTAAATATAGGCATTCATGCCGGACATCCCAAACCAGCGTCTTTAACATCGTCTTTAATGCATCATTATTGGTATGTTTTACCATTCCCTCAACGATTGGTTTCAGGTGAACACACTACATCAAGGTTTGACCCCTCTTACGATAGCCAGCAATCGGGGCCATCGTGAAATTGTATTAGAACTGCTGAACAAGGGTGGAGATGTTAATAAAGTTGATAAGGATGGCGATACACCATTAATGGTTTCTATAACAAGGTGAGTAGATTATCATTACCCTCCATCATCATCATTTGAATATGTTGTGAACATCAGAAACGACAAGGGACACTGTACAGTATAATGTTACAGAAATATACCTGAAAAATTTTCCTTTCTTTTGTAGCAAAGAGCCAGCTATTGGAAAGTTGCTGATTGAAAGAGGCATTGATGTGAACATTGCCAATCATAAAGGTACAACTGCTCTACACTATGCAGCAGCTACTAATTACAGTAATTTGGTGGAGATGATTATCAGCAATGGGTGTGACGTCAATTTACAGGTATGTCATACTTTTCATTGCCTTAATTAATTCAGCCGTGATGGTAGAGCAACAAGTATCATTATCATCAGCTGTAGCTTCGATGTAGCGTCATCATCACCATTATTGTCGTCGCCGTAACGTCATCAAACATCGTCATCTTCGTAGTTAAAGTATAGACCTTTCTCGTACAGATGTAAAAACGGAGTCATTACTCCAAGATGTTGGTGAGGTTCCTCTACAAATCCGCAGAGAGGAGTTAGCCCTTAGATACTGGTCAAAGTTGAAACACCTTGGAGAATCATCCCCTACCTACCTCGAGACCGCGAGGTTCAGGCACGCCAAAAAAAGTCAGTTCGGGATTCCGTTCGGAAGTATGGGCTAGATATGTTGCTCGCCCCCCATTGTCGACACCTCTCTCGCCTCGAGAGTGGATAAGAAACGGGACGATCCTTGCATCGCTCGAATGATCGCCTTAACTCATATGGATGCAAGGTGGTCGGAAAGCATACGTATCTATACTGACGGTTCACATAACCCGGATGATGGTACAACGGGTTTGGAGATCTACGTCCCCTCGAGCAGCACAAGAATTAGCAAGCGATTGCCCAATAACTGCTCAGTGTACACCTCAGAGATGCTTGCAATCCTCTACGCGGTGAAATATTCCGCGGGCCACTATCATTCAAATTATGTAGTACTAAGCGACTCGCTAAGTAGCCTGACATCGATACTCAACGATTCCTCTAATTCCCAAGCGGAGCTTGTGGATGAAATCAGGCAAGCGTGCTCACTTGTACATAGTCAAGGCAAATCAATCGAGTTGGCATGGATCCCGTCTCATGTCGGCATACAAGGGAACGAAATTGCAGATGAACTCGCAAGAATAGGACTAGGACTATCGGAGATTGACCGGATAGACTACAGTTTATCGGAAATAAGAAGCATGATCACAAAAAGCATCAAATCGACATGGGAGGCAACTCTCATAGATGCTAATGCATTCCGCTTCCGATTAAACGATAGCATTAGCAGTAAAGTGTTTTTACACCACCCCAATCGACAGATCTGTCGAACGGTCGCCCGTCTGAGAATGATGGGTGAGGTACGAAATCACAAATACGAACTAAAGCTATGTCCCTGTGGTGAAGCTGGCACCGCAGAACATCTGTTAATCCATTGTGAGCAACTAAGGGAATTAAGAAAATCGCTGGTCGAGATAATGAAAAGATATAGACTGGAGTACACCTTGAAGAATATTCTGTCCCATACGGGGGAGGGTATGTCAACAATCTGTGAAACAGTCTATAATTTTCTTAGTGAGTCACGAATGATCACATAAAGTAGCACATCAGAAGAGCGCCCCGCTCCTCTGTAGGTGTGGCGATCATTGGGGACTTAGTTCTCTATAGATCGCCAAGAAGAAACACAGAAGAAGAACGCAGTATTAAGACTACAGAAGAAGATCAAGAAGAAACCATGGGAGCAACCCGTTCCCTACTCAACGTCTGCGATATGGAATTTCTCCAAAGCGGACACCATCCACCAACAAGAAGAAGAAGAAGTACAGATGTACTATTCGGTTATCCGCCCCTGCCGTTAGGTGTCGCTTTCAGTTTGCCGCCATTGAGGTACTGAAGATCGGGAAATATTATTGTTTACGTTGACAACTTTACTCGCATGACGCCAGGTCCAACCTTTTGACAGATACTATTGAGAAAAAGAAGTTGCATTTATGGAATAAGGCTGTGTGCAAGGACCATGCAGATCTACCACACGAAGAATGTCTGCATCCCGAAGAATGAAGACAGAAGGAGAGCATGGTTGAAAGCAATAAATCGGAAAGATTTTGATCCTAGGGGAAAGGAATTGGTAAGTAAATTATCAAAACTCATATTTAGATCACTGACTTTAGAAAGCTGACTCCAGGAAGCAATGGCAGAGGCATCTGAATATTTTTTACCGTGAGGATTTGAACCACCGACACCTAACGGCCTGGCAGACAACAATTTAACTCACTGACACTACTTACTGAAATATTCCACTGCCATAAAAAGACAAGTGTTCCATACAAGCGCTGAAGGGAATAGCTGGGCTTAGATTTAACATTTTTGTATGTTCCAACAATCAAATGTTTTAATCTGTTTTAGATAACTTCTTCTTTGGCTACCTTAAGTAATTATTTTCTTTCTATGTTTTCAGGTTTGTTCAATTCATTTTATTGATGGAAGGCCTACAAAACTTAACCATTACCCTTCAATTCATCTTGGATATGAAAGAGAAGTTAAACCAGGACGACGTGTACCCTTGTCCAATGTCGCCCAGAACTATCAAGAGGAAGATGTTGATATCTGTACTGAAGAGATTGATTGTTCATTGGAAGTTTTACCATCTTTTAACAGTATTACTACTTCTGTACAAACAGATGGTATTATTTGTCACAGTCCAAGTGATTTTTGTTCAAGACTGGTGAATACCAGTGAAATGTCTACTCAGACCGAACATAGTTATTCTATTTTAAAACCCACATATAAAGCTGTTTCCACTCAGCACACAACTGCCGAATTTTCTAGTAGTATTTTGAAAACAGACAGTGACTCCAAATTTTATACTGGTCTTACACTTACAGTATTATTGTCCATCATCTCTTCATTATCATCATTTGGGGAGAAATTATCATTTAGCTTAC